CTATGAAGCCTCTCAGTACTTCTCCATCTGTATGTTATAACTATGAAGCCTCTCAGTACTTCTCCATCTGTATGTTATAACTATGAAGCCGCTCAGTACTTCCCCATCTGTATGTTATAACTTGTACATGACATGGACCACATGTACTTTGTGTTATGGTCGTGAGTGTGCTCATGTACTGTGTGTGGTGGTCGTGAGTGTGCACATGTACTGTGTGTGGTGGTCGTGAGTGTTGATACCTTATACGCGATTGTCACGTGTATGTACAGTGTTTTGATATATTTTGAGTATGAAGGTGTGTGGAACCAAAAGAATGGTATTAAAACTATCAAATACATACTATATCGGTGCATGTTACATATGGGTCTGTGATCTAAATATATATATGTTTATTGCGCATGTGTAAAGTGTGTGTCCTGACGGTAGTCATGGCAACCATCTTGCAACACGAAGCTGAAGTACTCTATCGGAATACAAGTTTTCAACACGCTGATAAATTTGTTGTGTAATGTTAAATATGTTTAAATTTGCTTTAATGTCTTAGTTTTAAATGTGTTTAAATGGGCTTTAATGTGTTATGATTTATTGTGTTTTGATTTAATGTATTTTTATATATTCTAATGTGTTTTATTGTATTGCGTTTTAATGTTATGTCTTTTCATTTGATATATATATATATATATATATATTGTGTTTTAATGTATTGTGATTTAATGTAAAGTGTTTTAATATGTGTTGTGATGTATTGTGTTCGGATTAAATGTATTTTTATGTTTGAATAGTTTTAATTGTATTGTGCTTTAATGTAATGTCTTTTCATGTGTTATATATATTGTTTTTAATGTATTGTGATTTAGTGCAATGTGTTTCAATGTGCTGTGATGTATTGTGTTTTAATTTGATGTATTTTTATATGTTTTATTAGTTTTTACTGTATTGTGTTTTAAATGTTATGCGTTTTAATGTGTTTTGTTTATTGTGTTGTGATGTATTTTGCTTTAATTTAATGTATTTTTATACGTTCTAATAGTTTTGGTGGTATTCTGTTTTAATTGTTATGTGTTTTAATGTGTATTGTTTATTGTGTTTTAATGTTTTGTGTTTTATTTGTTATGTGTTTCAACATGTTTTATTTATTCACTTATTAACCATAACCCTGTAATAAATAAACTACCAACCATATCCATACACAGGGGAGTGGTCCTCCACCGCTTGCACCTAAGCCTAAACATGCGACATTCCAACCACTGCCTGAGTCACACCACAAGGTGCCACCCAAACCACCCGCCAAGAAACCCCAACTGGTGGTGCAGAAGCCAACGGTCACCAATGTATGTGTGTGTGTGTGTATGTGTGTGTGTATGTGTGTGTTTGTGTTTGTGTGTGTGTGTGTGTGTGTGTGTGTGTGTATGAGTGTGTGTATGAGTGTGTGTATATAGGGTGCGTGTGGAGACGTGAATGACTATGTATGTATGTATGTATGTGTGTGTGTCTGTGTTGTTTTTTTGTGTGTGTGTGTGTGTTTGTATCTATGTATATATCTATGTATGTATCTATTTATGTATATATTTATGTATGTATATTTCTATGTATGTATGATTGTATGTATGTATGCATGTATGTATACATGTATGTATGCATGTATGCATGTATGCATGTATGCATGTATGCATGTATGCATGTATGCATGTATGCATGTATGCATGTATGCATGTATGCATGTATGCATGTATGCATGTATGCATGTATGCATGTATGTATGTAAGTATGTATATATATGTGTTTGTCTGTGCCTGTGTCTGTATGTCTATGTGTGTCTGTGTCTTTGTGTGTGTCTGTGTGTCTGTGTGTCTGTGTGTTTGTGTCTGCGTCTGTGTCTAAGTGTATGTATGTGCCTATGTGTCTATGTGTGTCTGTGTCTATGTCTGTGTCTGTGTAGGTAGTGAGATACAATCAATAAGTGTGTATCATCCTTATACCTATGTAAACATGCATGTGTATGTAATGAAATACAATTAACTTTATATCATATCATCACAATGCGCATGTTAACGTGTATGTGTATGTAATGAAATACAATTATCTTTATATTATATCATCTCAATGTACATGTTAACGTGTATGTGTATGTAATGAAATACAATTATCTTTACATTATATCATCCCAATGTGCATGTTAACGTGTATGTGTATGCAATAAAATACGATTATCTCTATATCATATCGTCCCAATGTGCATGTTAACGTGTATGTGTATGTACTGAGTTCAAGAGGTAAGGATTTGGGTTCGGGTACTTCGTAGACCTTCTCAGTCGTTCCTATCTCTCATCGGTACTCGTTGCTTCCGTTGACACGTTTGACACTTTTGACAGGTGGGTCTATTGAACAAAATTGAAGACGACAGAGCAAAGTGCCTGAAGGTCGTGGAAGGCATGCAGAAGGTATGTGGCTTATCATAATACTACCAGTCACTGTTAGTAAAGTATTAGAAGTCATTTATAGTCATCAACATGAAGCATGCATAGTTAGTTGTAGTTGTGACGGGTATTAAGTTATCGCACTATTACAAGTTATGCATAAGATAAGAATTATTAACTACTATTAAATATGCATAAGATAAGAATTATTAACTCTTATTATCTTATGCACAAGATAAGAATTATTAAGTATTGTTATCTTATGCATAAGATAATACTTCTCAACTATTGTTATCTTATGCACAAGATAAGAATTATTAACTATTATTATCTGATGCAGTTGTTCTGGCATGTACATGTACGTTCATGGGTTGCTATGGAGATATGCTTTTCCTGTCGTGTGTATTGCACTCGATTAGTGGCCTGTTTCGTTGTGCCACAATGAGTAAACTTGCACAATCGGGAGAACGGTTATAAAAGCGCTAAAACCTTAAAAATCCAGAACCCTAAAACTCTAAACTCTAAATCCACATTGTTTACTTCAAGTACAAATACTTCACGCATGTAGTCCCACCTAGTATCGTTGTACAGTGACAAGTGTGGTATGCCGATACCGTTTGCATAAATTGATACTTATATCAACCACAAGGGCGGCTTGGCAGTCATGCGCGACAATATCATTCAAGTTGGAACATGACTGACACAGATGC